CGTGTAGCTTCACAACATCACAGGTATGGTGACATCACGAGTACTTGTAACTTCACAACATCACAAGTATTGTTGACATAACGAGTACATGTAACTTCACAACATCACAAGTATTGGTGACACAACGAGTACGTGTAACTTCACAACATCACAGGTATTGGTGACATCACAAATACGTATAACTTCACAACATCACAGGTATTGGTGACATCACGAGTACTTGTAACTTCACAACATCACAAGTGTTGGTGACATCACGAGTACTTGTAACTTTACAACATCACAAATAATGGTGATATCACGAGTACATGTAACTTCACAACATCACAAGTATTGGTGACATCACGAGTACTTGTAACTTCACAACATCACACGTATTGGTGACATCATGAGTACGTGTAACTTCACAACATACAAGTATTGATGACATCACGAGTACTTGTAACTTCACAACATCACACGTATTGGTGACATTATGAGTACGTGTAACTTCACAACATACAAGTATTGATGACATCACGAGTACTTGTAACTTCACAACATCACAAGTATTGGTGACATCACGAGTACTTGTAACTTCACAACATCACAAGTATTGGTGACATCACGAGTACTTGTAACTTCACAACATCACAAGTATTGGTGACATCACGAGTACTTGTAACTTCACAACATCACAAGTATTGGTGATATCACGAGTACTTGTAACTTCACAACATCACAAGTATTGGTGACATCACAAATACGTGTAACTTCACAACATCACAAGTATTGGTGACATCACGAGTACTTGTAACTTCACAACATCACAAGTATTGGTGACATCACGAGTACTTGTAACTTCACAACATCACAGGTATTGGTGACATCACGAGTACGTTGTAACTTCACAACATCAGTATTGATGACATCACAAATACGTTGTAACTTCACAACATCACACGGTATTGGTGACATCACAAATACGTGTAACTTCACAACATCACAAGTGTTGGTGACATCACGAGTACTTGTAACTTCACAATATCACAGGTATTGGTGACATCACGAGTACTTGTAACTTCACAATATCACAGGTATTGATGACATCACAAATACGTGTAGCTTCACAACATCACAGGTATTGGTGACATCACGAGTACTTGTAACTTCACAACATCACAAGTATTGTTGACATAACGAGTACATGTAACTTCACAACATCACAGGTATTGGTGACATCACAAATACGTGTAGCTTCACAACATCACAGGTATTGGTGACATCACGAGTACTTGTAACTTCACAACATCACAAGTGTTGGTGACATGTAACTTCACAACATCACAGGTATTGGTGACATCACAAATACGTGTAACTTCACAACATCACAAGTATTGGTGACATCACGAGTACTTGTAACTTCACAACATCACACGTATTGGTGACATCATGAGTACGTGTAACTTCACAACATACAAGTATTGATGACATCACGAGTACTTGTAACTTCACAACATCACACGTATTGGTGACATCATGAGTACGTGTAACTTCACAACATACAAGTATTGATGACATCACGAGTACTTGTAACTTCACAACATCACAGGTATTGGTGGACATCACAAATACATGTAACTTCACAACATCACAAGT